AGGGAGGATTTTAAATCGGGTTTATTTTAGGTGTAATTTTTAAATAGTACAACTTTAAATATTTGGTTTTAATTGGTTTTACTTCGGTGGGGTTGTAGGCGTGTCTATGTTTTTTAATATGTTGTGAGCCGCCCTGAGTCCCGTTGGGAGAAGGGCGGGATATAAATCAAAATAAATAAATAAATAAATAAATAAATAATGATGCAACCAGCCCACGGGCCAGCAGTTTGACACCCCTGCCTTAGAATAACATCTGGCTATCCACATCTGAAAAATCCCAGTAAGGATCAAATTGATCACACAGTGCCTCCTGGTGGTCAATGAAACTGAAAAACTACATGAGATGCAAACCGTGTAAAAATAGAGCCCCCCCTCCTTCCCCCCAGAAGAGGCTGTGTAAGTAATATGTAACCTAGTATATAGTGGCATGAATTAATAAATGCCACTACTCTTCTCTGAATGTTTAAGGGAGGGTGGACTGTATACAGATAGTCCTTGACTTACAACCATTTGTTTACTGACCGAAGTTAAAATGGCACTAAAAAACCCCTGATTTATGACCATTTTTCACACTTTACAATGTTGGGCACCTCCATGATCATGTGATCAAAATTTGGACATGTTGACAAGTGGCTCATATTGGTAACAGTTGCAGGGTCCCAGGTCATCTGATCTCCTTTTGTGACCTTCTGACAAAGAGAGTCACCCGAGAACCCAGATGCCCTTTAAAACCAATTTAGCAACTGCATTGATTCATGTAGTAATTGTGGCAAGAAAGGTCATAAAATGGAACAAAACTCACTTAACAACTGGAAATTTTGGATTCAACTGTGGTTGTAAGTCGAGGACTGCTTGTATACCATCCTGATAGTGGTGGTGCAGTGGTTAGAATGCTAATTCTGCTGACTGCCAATAGTTCAGTTCTCAGTGGCTCAAAGTTGACTCTGCCTTCCATTCTTCCATGGTAGGTAAAATGAGGACTCAGATTGTTGGGGGCAAATATGCTGACTCTGTAAAACTGCTTAGAGATGGCTGTAAAAGCATTGTTAAGAGGTATATAAATTAGTACAGGACTTTGACTTTCTGATTCTCTTAGCAGCAGGAAACCAATGATCAGTGGGACACTCCTAGTAGTAGCAGAATAAGAGGAAAATGTACCGTATGTTGGGAACCCGGAGGCAGGTACCTCTACCCTTAATGTGCATTCTACTGTGATTAAGATACAAAATACAAATACAGAACACATCCTTGTAATGTCTTGGAGAAATAGTTCCTGCCCTGCATTTTTAAAAGATAACATAAACGAGCCTAAAAGTTTAGACAAAAGTCTGAAAGTGACATGTAAATAAGCTGAGAAGGATTCCCTGTGCATTTGTCCTTTAGTTTCAATGCCTTCTTTACCTATTAAAGGAGTTTTTGTGCTTCTGTGCAACAATATGAAAACCATACAGGAGTCTCAAAGGGAATACAGATGACTACCAGAAGAAAATTAGCTAACGTACAAAATTAGAACCTTAAAGACCAATTCACACAAGCATGCCTGGTCACAAGTCATAAAAGGCCCATGTTTGGAGACCCCTGTATTAGAGTTATCTGATATTTTGATTTTTTTCTCACAAAGGTTTAAGTGGTGCAGCCTTTTATGAAACAAAATTATTTTTTTCTGTCTGCCCACTTCCAAGGGTGAGTTGAAACAACTATTTTTTTCTGTTTTACAACCTCTCTTGAGTTTTGTTCAGCAGGACTAACTTTCTGAGAGGGTGCTCTCTTAGTGGAAGACTTTCTCAGCAAATTTTGAAGAAGATTTTAAGGAGGAGGAGCAGTTCAATCTGAAGCATCATTTGAAACCGCTTCAAGTCAGCGGAATGAAAAATAGTTCCTCTGACCCTTTGGCCCCAAATATTTTCTGAACATGGAGCTTTGGGTAATCTAAAACTGGAAGACAGACCTCTGAAGCCATGCAATTGACTTCTTGGAAGTCAATTGCCATTATCCTTCAGGCTTTTCTTGGCAAAACGAATCATATCAGCGCACATCTCTCTGCTGCAGTGAATCTATGTCAGGGGTCTTTAAACTTGGCCCTTTTATGACTTGTGGACTTCAACTCCCAGAATTCCTCAGCCAGCGTGTCTGGCTGAGGAATTCTGGGAGTTGAAGTCCACAAGTCATAAAAGGGCCAAGTTTGAAGACCCCTGATCTATGTCATGTTGCCTAGGCTTGACATAAATTGTGCAACCTCCTTTTTCCAAAAACCTCCCCACAGAATTGAATTTAATGCAAAGCCCATCTTACCTGACGTGTTACTACGAAGTATGCATACATTGCCATGGCACTGCCATATGTGATGAAGTAGGTGACTGGCTCCATAATGTCCCAAGAATATTCCCACCAGGTGAGCCGAGCCAATATTCCAAACTGAGTTGCCATGTAAGCCAGCCCGCCCCACAGTAGCCAGGTTGTCCTCTTATCTGCTTTTCTGCAAATTTCCATCCTGACCTGCAAAAGAAAATTATCCAGGGCTAGTACAGTATTGAGCAGTGGCTTTTAATAAAAGCTAAAACATCACCCAAGCACAGCTGTACGTAACCCAAGCACTTCTGACTAGGCTGAGGAATTCTAGGAGTTGAGATCCACCTATTTTAAAGTTGCTAAGGTTGACAAACACTGGTCTAGTCAGAAGTGTTTTAATGTCAATATTTTTTGACAGGGGACTAAGTGACAGATTGCTCAAATAACCAATTTTCCATTCTTTTTGAGTAGTTGCCATGTGTTTCCAATGCTCTAATAAAGTCCTTGCTCTAATACAGAGAGCCCCAACATTTTGGGCACCAGGGACCGGTTCCGTGGAGAGAGGTTTTTCCGTGGATGAAAGGGTGCGTGGTCTTGTGTGCTGCCTGCATCCCGCGGATGGGGCTTTACTTGTTTGTGCAGACCAGTTGCTGGCATGCCATGGACCAGTACTAGTTCATGGCCCAGGAGTTGGGGACCCTGCTCTAATAAGTCCCTGTCCCACCTTCTCAATTTAAAATAAAATAGTTCAAATTAAGATGCACCCTTTTCCAAGTTTTATAGAAAGAAGGGAAAGCTTATAAATAACCCAAGGAGGGAGTACCTCATCATATCCACAGAATGTTTACTTTCAGACTCTATTATGGTAAGAACATTGCTAAATCCTTCATTTAGTCCCCTATCAAAAATATGGATGTCTGACTAGACCAGTGTTTCTCAACCTTAGTAACGTTAAGATGTGTGGACAACTCCCAGAATTCCAGAACCGAAGCCTCTTCTCCAATAGTAGAACAGAATTCCTCCCTCATTATAATCCCTCTTGAGTCAGTCTACCACTAGGAACTAGGATTCCCTGTCTTATTTGTAGTAAAAGGAATCAAGCAAAAGATTATGGCTACTACTTACAGACAGAAGATTGAGTCAGTATTTGTTCTTGGTTTGGATTTGGCATTTCTACATACCATAAGCATTTTCATTTTTTTGAAAGAACAGCCAATCCCAATTTCTTTTTCTCTTTCCATGATGTATTTACAACACTCTTGTGCACCAATCTTGCTTAGCCCAACACCAGGAACTGTGATTTAACACAATTTTCAAAACAGGGGTTTCAGATCCTGATGACTAAACAGACATTAAAATAGTTCCTTATATTCTTTTTCAACCCTGGCAACTGTAAAATGGGTGGATTTCAACTCCCAGAACTTCCCGGCCAATTCTGGGAGTTGAAGCCCACCCATCTTAAAAGTTGCTGAGGTTGAAAAACACTGTGACAAAGACTGATGAGCAAAGCAAGAGGAGTCCATGTATATTTGAGAATCTTTTACTTAGTTGTGGACAAACTAACCATGATTCAATAAACTGGGAAACAGTGCTTTATAGCAACTCATGTTCCTCCTCCCTCCCTTTATTAGTTTTTAAATAGAAATGCCCAGATCTAGACCCATTCATTAATAGATAAGTCTCAACATGTTGCGGTCTGAAGAGTTAGCTCAAGAATATCTGACAAGGAAATCACTTGTCTGGGTGGCTGGATAGGGATCAGGAGACTTTTGTGGTTGTCTATTTTTCCTTTATATGATTTTAAATCAATTATTACAATACATACATGTAATCGATATTTCTTGGATCACTTAAAATTAGTCCAAGAAATAAATTTACATATGAAAAAGTGTTTTTCTTTTCCAGTGTTGTCTAAAGCCATTAAGGTACAATACATATTCTTTGTTCAGCTGTCAAGCCTATTGAAACAAATCCCAATGTCCTTACTTTTTCCAGGGGTGCCAATTGCTGTTTGAGGTCTTCTAACCTCCCAATCAATTCCTTCTCCTTATTCAGCTGGTGTTCTTCAATACACAGTGTGGTATAGAGCTGCTGAACCAGGGTCTTCACATCATTCAATGTGGTGGCATCTTCGTGGCTTAAGAGATCTAAAGAAGAACACAGGTCTTTTAATATTCTTATTTTTCACAGTGTGATGGCACTGTGAAGAATGCCCTACTGAAGGACTGAAATTTACAAAATCAAATAAAAAATGGATGGAATTAACTGGATTACTCAATGTGTTGCATGGCAACTCATGTTCTGAGAGGTTTTTAAACAATCAAACACTGTTCCAATATAAGTTTGGCTTATACTCGCCTCTCCCAAGATAAAAACACTTCTAGGCTGGATTGGCAGAAATAGGAAAGCCTAAAATTCCATTTAAAATTCAGTATCTGAAATCTGACAATCTGGCCATACTTTTAACATTGCCTTTATTTTTTTATTTTTTAAGCTAAAAGTCCATTCTACAGCAAATAATTGAAAGTCACTTGAAAATATTAGTGTTTGATATTTAACATTAATTTGCTTTTGGACTCAGTCAGTGAACAACAGGTAGATACTCTATTTTATTTCATTTTATTTGTATCCCGCCTTTATTATGTTTACAAATAACTCAAGGCAGTGAACATATCCAATGCATCTTCCATTTGCTAAACTCACGATCTCTTGCTTTCCAGCCCGGTGCCATAACTATTAGATCTGTGTATTTATGTTTGTGTGTGTGTGTGTGAAAATTGTACTCAAATGGATTGGCAAATAAAAAAAGTACTTCAGATTCTTCATATTCCATTTCCCTCTTAATACTTCAAGGTTTATAAGGGTATATAAGGAAAGATGAGTTTCATCCATTTACAAAACAAACGCAATATAAAACAGAGAATGTATGAAAACATTAATGTCTTGTTTCATGTAGTGATAAAAGTAGAACTTAAACCCAATGATAATGCAGAGAAGGGCCATGTCCGAAGGCCATCAGGTGACATCATTTTTGGCTCATATTGGGAGAAGTTTAAGTCTGGAAAAAGAAACGGGAGGACTCCTAGTAGATATAGTATTCTAATGAACTATGAATATAGAGTTTCTGCCCCATTTGATTCATACAAGAATTTCTGCCATCAGAAAGAAAAACAACCATATATGAAGATGAGCTTAAATACAGAATGGAGAGAACACACCATCCAGCATAAGAAATGTTTGAATGAGCACATATTCAAGCCATTACAAGTAGATTTCTTCCCAGTTATGTATTTGATCTGAAGAGTGCCAATAAAGCTAAAGTGATAGGACTTTGATCCAGACTAATGTAGCTTAATTTACATTTTTATACCCCAGGGTACAAGACAATTCATTTGAGCTTTCGTGCTTAACTTTACACATATTTTGCTGAACACATATTGTATATGAAGGATATACAAAGCCCTAAATGACTACTGAAGCCCTTCCAATGGGTAAGCAGGTCTCCAAAAATCAGACACGATTGAATGGAAGAAAAAAAATGGATCATGAAATCTATCTTTGGTTAAAAGACTAATCTTTGCATAAATGACGAATGACAAACAAATTCAGTAAAAAAGCCTCTGTTTTTATCTTTTGCCTTTACTGAAAATATGACCTTGACTGTTCATTTTGAAGAGAAAAATAACATGGGACGGTCTCCCCTAAAATGCAGAGGGTCCCAAACCTTTTGGTCTTTCAAAAGGCTGCGAAGACTCAACTCTTGCCCCAGTCACTGGCCAAGATATTAGTTAAGTCCACTATAGGAGGGGTCCTATTGCGAGGTTTTTATAAAGCATTGACTGTTGTATTACTGTACAAGTAGTCCTCGAATTACAACCTTTTGTTTAGTGACAAAAACTTTAGTTACAGTGGTACTGAAAAAAGTGACTTCTGACCGTTTTTCACACTTATTTACTTTTGCAGCATCCCCAATGGTCACGTGATCAAGATTCAGGCGCTTGGCAACTGGTTCATATTTATGACGGTTGCTGTGTCCCAAGGTCATGTGATCACTTTTTGCGACCTTCTGACAAGCAAAGTCAATGGGGAAGCCAGATACATTTTACAATTGTGTTACTAACTTGACAACTGCAGTGATTCACTTAACATCTGTGGGAAGAAAGGTCGTAAAATGGGGCAAAACTTACTTAACAATAGTCTCACTTAGCAATAAAATTTTTGAGTACAACTGTGGTCTTAAGTCAAGGACTACCTGTATTGTCATTATTTTTATGTAATTCAGATTATGTTTTGAGGTTTTATTTTACATTGTTTGCAAACTGTTGTTAATTGCCTAGATTTATGCATTTACAATGGATGGCCACATAAATCCCCTAAATGAATGAATGAATAAAAACAATTAAAGAAGCAGGTGTGCCAATTTGAAACAGCAAGCCCTTTTGTTATGACAAAAAATACTAAAAACATACAACTGGGATACTAAACATGGAGAAGGAAATCTATTTAGCTCTGAAACAACTTGGGCATGGAAAACAAAATAGAGCATAAAGCCAAACTAGTAAAGTACCAGAAAGTCATGCATTAAAATCACATTTAAAACAGACAGTCTTTACAAAGTAATCTTTCCTCTTCTACCTGATCAGATTGAAGGTATTTTGTAGCAATTTCTCTTCTCAAAATTAAACCTCATTTTACAGCACAAAAAAAGAAGAATACATGAGTATATAGGGAAAGATGCCAGTCAAGACTCAGGAGAACATACAACTCAATCGGTTATAGGACCACTATTCTCAAGGCTTGGAGATGTAGTGTGGATATTCATGACGGCCGGTGATAGTATATTTATGCAGAATTATCAATGAGCTAGTTTGAAGAAGATGCAACTTTCCAAACAGACATGAAATTATCTTTTTTAATTAGTAGATGGAGGAGTTTCATGCAAATAACTTCTGGAAATATATCCCAATTGCATGAAGCTGTTACCTCTCTTTGGTGGACGGACGTGGTAACTCAAGTCATTAATTACTAATTTGAAATCATCAAGAAGTAGGAGATCTATGCTTGTGGAAGCTGCTACTCGTGTCCCATCTAAAAGGAAAACAGGAATACATGTAATTAAGAGCTAGATATGACTTATTAATAGGCCAGCAGTGTTCCATTGCAAATTAGTATATTCTACCTTAGAGAAATGAACTGAAACTATATTTTAATGGTTCCAAGATATAGTCTCAAAGTACAGGTAGACCTTGACTTAGAGACCATTCAAAGTTACAACGGCACTGAAGAAAAGTGACTTATGGCCAGTCTTTTCAATTATGACTGCTGCAGCATCCCTATGGTCACATGATCAAAATTTGGTTGCTTGGCAATTGGCATGTATTTATTTATGATGGTTGCAGCATCCCAGGGTAATATGATTGCCTCCTGCAACCTTCCCAGTTGACTTCCAACAAGCAAAGTCAATTTGGGGGGTAGAAGCTGGATTTGCTTAATGATCATGTGATTCATTTAATAACTGCAGTAATTTGCTTAACATAAAATTTGGGCATGACTCACTTAACAATGGGAATTCTAGTCCCAACTGTGATCGTTAAGTCGAGGACTACCTGTATCTCAGAAACTAAACTATTCTTGTATAATTCCACCTGATGGAAGCAGAGCTGTGTATGAGCAAAACAGATCATTAGCAAAAATATCAACCAAAATAAGTGGGTAGAGATTTAAAGGGGCACAAAAGTGGTAGGGACCTATTTCCTACCTTTTTAGTTGCAAACAACTTTCCAATTTCAAATGCTTTTTCTCCCAGTGGAGCCCTAAGACCAGAAACAGACTTGAGGGGAAGAGATTTTTTACTGACAGATACTATTACAAGCAAGAAATGCAAATGGGGAGATTGTTTTAACATCTTTTGTCCACTTTTCTTCTGCTTTTACCCTGATCCACTGACAAATCTTTGGTCAATACAGAGAGCATATATTAGATATAATTAAGACCTACTATTTTATACTTTTACTTTTTCTATCACATATTTAATTTCCACTTGGTGACTAAATGTTCCCTTCTTTGGAAGTTCAGTTTGTTTGTGGCAAACCAAAGGCCAAAAGTTACATACTATTTTTCTTTGCCCAAAAATGAAGCGGCTAATCTTACACAACACCAATCTCTACAGGGTTAGCACGATGTAACAAAAAAAAAAGTAAACAGAAGAGTGAAATATAGCCACATTAGTAGCATTGAGTGTAAATCAGGGGTCTTCAAACCTGGCCCTTTTATGACTTGTGGACTTCAACTCCCAGAATTCCTCAGCCAGTTGAAGTCCACAAGTCATAAAAGGGCCAAGTTTGAAGACCCCTGGTATAAATAATCCACGAAGAGCACGCTGGCTGGGGAATTCTGAAGTCCACAAATCTGTTACGTTGAAAAACAGTGATCTAATCTAAAGCTGAAGGAGGGTCATTGGGTTCCTCTAGTAACGCTCAATAGTACCTGGTGAATAAATTGCAACTCGGTCGATCCCCCGGTCTTCTGCCTGGAGTTGTTGTAAGAATACTCCAACCGAGTCTGAGAGAGGTTTAAGTGTAAACTGACAGCGTTCGCGCCGAGAAGGAAGACTCAAAGATATCACCGGTAGCCCATTCTGGTAAATCACTGTAACATCTAAGAAGGATAAACAGGGACAATTGAAACAGATTCAGAAATGCATGTTAAGATGTATGCTGATGCTAAGTTGAAGCCTGTAGACCAGTGGTAGGCAACTGTGGGTCTTTTATAAGCATGGCTGGCTCAGGAATTCTGGGAGTTGAAGTCCACGAGTCATGAAAGAGCCAAGGTTGCCTATCCCTGCTATAGACAAAAGGAACATATGTTCACATAATTAGGTGTCTTATCATAATTTAATTGGTTTTTCTGAACACTGCAGAGGACTAGGCTAGAGTTTCTTCAGGGCCTTTCTAATTCTATACTCCTATGATTCCTAGAGGATTGCTAAATACAGGTAGTCCTTGACTTTGAACAGTTACCACGGCACTGAAAAACGTGACTTATGACCGTTTTTCACAGTCATGGCCTTTGCAACATCCCCATGATCATGTGATCAAAATTTGGATACTTGGCAACTGGTTCATATTTATGACCATTGCTGTATCCCGGGGTCATGTGATCACCTTTTGTGACCTTCCGACAAACAAAGTCAATGGGAAAGCCAGATTCAATTAACAAAAGTATTACTATCTTATCAACCGCAGTGATTCACATAACAACAGAGGCAAGAAAAGTTGTAAAATGGGGCAAAACTCACTTAACAAACATCTCACTTAGCAACATAAATTTTGGGCTCAATTGTGATTGTAAGTTGAGAACTACCTGTATTGACCTCAACTTTTTTTCTATATGAAGCTTCAATAAATCAACTTTAAACCTCCTTCTTCAAAGCCTTCCCTAGGAAAATGGGTTTTTCATGTAACAATAGTTTCTGAACATGGCTTGTGAAGCAGTAGCTACTTTATTCAAAGTAAATGTTATCCAAGCCCCAGAAGGGCGGACATCATTGCAGAGATCAATGTTGAATATAGAAAACTGAATTTCTCCTTTGGTAATTGGGGAAATGGATTAGTTCCCAAAATGTCTGGAGCCAATTACAGACAATAAAGAAGATGACCTTAATGGAGATATGCAAGCTCCATCACCATAGCAAGAAGAGGTTAAACTTTTTTTTTAAGTGCAGAACATCCAGATAATATCAGAAAATGGTTTAGACAGATAGTTCTCTAATTCACTGAATTATAGGAAGAAAGAGGAACTACATCCTATTCCAATTTGGAGGATTCTGTTATTATAGCCAATCTCAGCAAGAGTAGTTTTAGCTTTTGTGTGAAGTTGATTTCTTGGTCTGTTCTATCTAGCAGGACTGACACACAGAGAGATAGGGCTGAAACTTCAGCCATTTGAGATCTGGATAGCTTTTAAGGGAGGTATAAATTTTTCATGAAAGTTTAATGCATGATTTGACTCCCCAATGGAAAAAAAGCAGTTTTATTGCCAATTTCAGCAGCACATTCTAACTGCTGTAAAAATAAGGCTAGGTACTCCATAATCTGCAAGTCCTCTGTTGTCCACACCTTGCAATATGTTGTAAGTATTGACAGCATTTTATATGCAGGTCAAAATGAGATGATTGCTTTAGGTAGCAGATGTGGTTTCATGAAACATGGATGAACAGCATCACGGTATTGGAGAACCAAACTCTAGAACATCACCATATTTAAATCATTCCTTCAGATGCAGTTAAAGAGGCTTTCCTACAGTCTGTTAGATATGCTGGTTATAACATAATAACCCACCATTGTTTTATATTAAAAACCTAAGTCATAAATTTGCATATTTCCTCAGTCATCCTGCTTTTCCATCCTCATGAATGCAAAATACATTCTTGAATCAATAAAACTATTGATTATTGAAACAATCTTGTACATGTTGACAAGTTGATGCAACCTGCCTTATCCTCTCTGTTGGGTTCTTAAAGGAAAACAATATATATCTTCCAGCTAACTAAGTTGCTTACAGGAAAAAAAAAAATCCAGAGACAAAGCAATAGCTTTATTCTTCCTATTCTTTTTTTTTAACAAGTTTTTATTGGTTTTCCAGTTTTACATTTGAGTATTTGGAAAGCAGCGTGGTGATTGGGTAATCAATAGTACAATAACAAAATCTTTAGTACATATCTCAGGTCACATCATCAAAAAATTCCTTCTCTGTTTCCCTTAACATTTGCTATATCATATTTAAGCTAGTAAATTTCTAATTATAACAAGCTCAGTTAAAACATTTATCATTATATTTTTGCTTATACATATCCATATCCTGTATTTAAATTTTACCTAATTTTTAATTGCAATATTCCAATTTAACCTTTAATATCCATAGTATTTAAATTTCGGGTAACCAAATTTCCTTTATTTCACTATATAGAAATTATAATATCTAAGATACACCTATTACTTACTTGAATATATTCTTATTTTATTTCATAAACATTTTCTATTTCTCATCCCAGTACATCACTACTTACTAATGGAGTATCCTTCATTGTCTCAAATCCATCATCTGTGTTATCTGGGCTAAACAATAATTCAAAGCTATTCCCTAATAATTAATTTTCATTTCCCTTATAAATCTAAATCCTCAATATTAGGCCAATTAATCCCTTATTTTTTATCATTTTCCAACAATAGTTAAATCTAATAATCATATTTCCCTTCATCTCAAAATCTCCCTTTAGCCCATTAGTTGAGACTTTAGGATCCTCTCTAATAAATCAAAAGATTCCATTTTTAAAATCTAACTCTAGCTTTCTTTTTATGCCAACCAGGCTTCCATATCAATGCCTTTAGATCATCAGATAGATCTCCCTTCATTCTTATGCATGTTACTTGAATCAAAGGAGACCATCTAGTTATCAATTTTCCAGAGGAATTGGCCCATTTATGGTCGTTAAGTTGTCGCCCTGGTAGCCCAGATCCCCATATTTGCTCTAACATATTTGTCTTCAATTCAATCTGGTCTTCTTCCTCAGGTTTCTTCTGGTGTAAGTAGAAAGTCATGTCCAATTTTATGGTTGTTGTTTGGTTGTCTAGGTTTTCAGCAGGCTGTACTTGTTGATCTTTAGCACCCTCCATCTTGGTATTACTTTCTTCCGCTTCTGTTGTTTTTGGAATTGTAAGTTCTTTGGTTGCAATCAGGGTTTCGCTTTGTAGATTTAAGCTGGCGCCTTTGTCTTTCAGTCTAGCTTTAATTATCTCAATAGCTTCAAGAATTTTTTTCAAGTATAAGTTTGTAATTAAGTGAAATTTGTTGCTGATCCTCCTCCATTTCTGATGTAGTTATAAATAGTCCTTTAGTGAAGGCTATTTATTAAGCGAGAATCAGTGGGTACTCACCTCCACGGTCCTAAAAAGCAATTTCACCGCCCAGCTGTTCTCTCTGCTTTTAATCTCTTTTAGATAATACCAAGGACAGATCTGGGCTATGAGCAGGTCTTTTTGTCAAGAATATTCACTTGCTGTACCACGTTTTGCCACAAGATGTCCTCCCAAACTAGGTTTTTGTCCAATTTAAGTTCTTTTTCATCTTTTTTACGAGAAAGTAGGAACTTTTTGGGTCCCTGAATATCAAATAAATGCAAATCCAATTATTTAGCTGTTCTTTTCAAGGCTTTATGTCCCGGAGGTAAACAAACGCCGCCATTTTAGAGGGCGGGAGGAAAATGTTCCCTTCCCTCTCTCCTCACAGGGGGAAGCAATTAAGAAGCTTTTTACAGGAAGATACTTGGGGTACAAAGAAGATAAGATCTCACCCAATTCCTCCGCAGTGCTTTCGAAGTGCTTGTTAGTAATTTTAGCCTCAGCTGGTAATGGCTTAGTGATGGGCCATGTTAATGGCCAATCTTTTCCCAGTCAGTTCAAAGAGTTTCCCGGGATCAAACGGGAGGGCTGCCGCCCTTCTGCGATCGCTCAGGAGTCCTCCTTCATGCTCATCGTCCCTCCAGGGCGACTTCCAACCCTTTTCAGGCTCCCACAGTGTGAGAAAACCGGATGGCAGAGGGAGCGATCACCCCGCACATCCGCCAGTGCCGAAATCACAAACCGGAAGCCATTCTTCCTATTCTTCTTAATTAAATATAGTACAACTCTTCTGTTTTATAGATATATTCCTCTAAGGGAAATATCACCACAGTACCTGTCTAAATACTAAGTAATTTAAATGGAGCTACACAAAAGTATAGTAAGCAAGGGCTCTTTTCAAGCCTTCTAGTATAACAGGCAGCTGTTCATGCACAATACTAGATATTTATCAACAGCTTAGTCACTGGTTTTATGGCCTATCTGGGAAACGTGAAGTTTGCATGAGATGGTAAACCAATTTTAATATCCCACTAGTAACACATGGCAAAGGCTGAGAAGCAAATGGAGAAACGGAATGCAACTGAAATGCAGGTTAGTCAAAAAAATACTTGGGGGAGGCGAGGGCATCTGGGTGGGAGCGGGGGTGGCAATCTTACACTGCGCAGCTTTGGCAGGTGTCTGGCAGGGGGCGGGAAGCATGGAATGCCCTGCTCCCGCCACCCCCACACGCCACTCCTACACGGCTCCTTTTTTACGATGCGTCACTTCCTCCGCCGCTGTGTGGGACTGAAAATAAAGTTCAATCAAGCAATTCCAACTTTGCGAGATCTTTTTTTTCCCCGTGAGAAGTTGAAATTGTTGATTGATATTTTTTTTTGCACATGGCGGTGGAGGCCTAGGACTGGGGCGATGGCACGTGTGCCCACAGAGAGGGCTCTGCGTGCCACCTGTGGCACACGTGCCATAGGTTTGCCACCACGGTGCTATAACATTCCAACATGATGGTATAGATTTCATGTCTTACCACTCTTTCACTATTTCACCTGTTTGTTTTGCAGGATTTTTCACAACCAGGTGAGTCACAGACAGACAGAAAGAAAAGGTTTCACAGAGTGTGACCATAACCATTCTTAAATACAGATTAAGTTGTATTAAGAAGCAAATACCACTAAAGGAATTTGGTTAAGAAACTCAACCAATACTATTTAGTCACACATGGTAGCTGATGTGAATGCACAGCAGAGAAAGCTGAAATCTCTCAGCTTAAGATTTGCATTTCAAATTCAGCATGAGATGCAGAAAATAAAGCAATGGTCTTAAAGCATCAGTTGTGAAAATTTCATCAACTGATATATTTGCAAAACAGAAAGAATGCAGAACTATAACAAATGCACAGAATATATAACAAGCTGGGTTTTGAAGGGGAAACAGCAGCACAGGTTTGGTTGACACTGTCTGCAAAATAAATCTGACCTTCAAAACAAAGGCAGAAGCTCAAAACAGCCTTCCACAGCTTACAAAGATGCAATCTTGGAAAGGAATTATTTGTTTTTGTCATGAACAAATAGCCATGAAGAAAGATTCTTCACAAAGCAGAATATGCAAAGGAAAACAAAACGACCCCCAAAACGGTGCACTGCATTTTGTAATTCAGTATTGTGGAAAGACTAAAGCAAGCAAGATGCCTCATTAATTTCTTTGAACATAAAAATGGTTAAAAAAAATCACACCAAGAACTGTACTGGCTCTAAGTTAATCTCTTTCAATTTATTTATTTTTTCATTTTAAAAAAGGCACAATTATTAAGTAAGCTAAAAAACCAATTCCTTGAGCATATGAACAAAAAATCCCTTAAAGAAAGATTTAGGCGTAGGGTACTTACCATCAGAGGGCACTACAGTACTGCAATAGACAACTCCCATAGTCTGCAAGGGAGGAAATCTTTGGTGTGCCTAGAAAAAATAACAATTATTATTCTTTATTGGCCAAGTGTGATTGGACACACAAGGAATTTGTGTCTGGTACATAAGCTCTCAATGTACATACAAGCAACAAGTGGTCAATCATGATTATAATCATAAAATGCACTCATCATAAATCAAGATACAACACAATAATGGTTGTAGGATACTAAATAAGCAATCAACATAAATCATACTAGGATACTAAATAAAACAATTAATATAAATCGTAAGATACAAGCAACCAAGTTACAGTCCTAAGAAGATAAGGAGATAGGTAATAGGAAGGATGAGAAGCATAATAGTAATGAGCATGTATTTTGTTAAAACCGTAAATGCTGAGTTGTTTCAGATGACCCAGGCCATGATACCAATCTTGACACTTCCTAACTTCTACAGCATGGAAGACAGTAAACCAGGTTAACAATTGAAGAAAAACTCTGGCTGACGTACATCATTTGATGTAAATATTTTCCTAAATCATTTCTCATACCTTTCATTTTTTTATTGCTGGATTGTTAAAAGGCAAATTAGGCAGACATTAAATGTTAAAATGCACTTTGGGATAAATTTCCATTTGGAGTTACAAATGGAGACAGAGGATTCATAAGCTGAAACATTTTATAATATTAGACATAACCAAGAATGGAATGCTGCATTAACAGAATGCAGAGTCATATGCATCCACTGCTTGTTTAGTGACCATGTTCTGTTCCAATAACCAGGCCATTAAATGAGATGGTCACTAAGTGAACACATGATTGAGAGAGATTGAGAAACGTTGCTGACGTTTCATTTAGATAAAATTCTCTTGTACAGCTATGCTGGTGTTACTCTCATTAGAACATAGAATCATAGGGCTGGAAGGGACCCAAGAGGTCTTCTAGTCCAACCCCCTGCTTAAGGCAGGAGACCTCATTCTATCCTGGTAAATGGTTGTCCAGTCTATTTTTGAAAACTTCCAGTGATGGAGCACCACATCTCCAGGAGGCAAGCTATTATATTGCATTCATAACCAAGCATCCATTCCAGCATGCATTATTGTCAGGCACATGAAGTTTGGTTGTAAATGAGCACATTGGTCAGAAAATGACTTTTTATTACTATTTATTACCATTGCATTTGCAAGTGTTGTTAACCAAGGTGACACTAAAAGAGGAGGAGAGGGTATATTCAGCCACCCCAGCCAGCATATCTAACACCCAATTGATTAGTGTGGTACATTTTATGCAAGCAAACTTACAAGAGTAAAGTAAACATATACACACTAAAATAGAGTTATAATGGGGGAAAAGTAAGAAGAAAACTAGGAAGTACTGATAAATCTGTATTAACTGCACACATTTGCCTTAAACTGTTTATTGAATTAAAACACATCACAAAAATATGGAACTTGCAAATAATTCAGATTAAAGCTTGCTGCATTTTAAAGTCACACGGATTTATTAAATAAAACATGATTTTCATACATTGGGGACAGTGATCAAATAATCCTTCCCCCAAAGACTTGTTAATAAATCTCCGTGTGTTTTGCAAAAACAAACAAACAACTACAGGACTTGCTGCAAGTCATTTTTCCCCTTTCATATAAATTCTTAAATATTAAGAACCCGCAATCTAACCCATTCTATGAAGCTTACAGTTGCACACTTAAACATTCTTTGGCAGGTATGAGACCTATTTTGAAAACACTTATTTACAAGTGACAAATTCTACATTTACTTCTTAATGAAATCTGTGTTTTTCAGGACATCGTCCAAAAAGATTGTGCTGAAATCTACAGTACTTAAATTTTGTTAAGATCATCTATATCAGTATATCTGAAACAAGGAAAAATTGTCTTGGTAAAGAATCATTGATATTTACTCAGAACAACACCAACATTATGAAAAAGTACTTTTATGTAGTGCACCATCCACCCTTCTGCAGACTGAAGAAACTATTTCAGTACTGAAAAAATACAAATTCCTCTAATGTGAAATGTGGCAGCTACTACTGCACAAGATCTGAACACCAGGCATTTTATTATTTGTGAGAGTACATCACTAATACAGCAGTTTAATAGACATTTGCTAGTACTAATGTACTAACATCCAACGGATTCCAAAGAAATAAGATCACCAACCTAATCCAAAAAGAAACCCCCACTAAAATCCAAGACAGAGAACAAGAAAACGGCAAAGCCCTCCTCCCATACATAAAAGGTACCACAGACAGAATCAGTAAGATCCTCCACAAACACAACATCAATACAGCATTCTGCACAAACCGAAAAATATCCACCATCCTAAGAAACCCCAAAGACAAAATTGAGTTAGAAAATCAAGGAGTATACGAAATCCCATGCACTGCCTGCCCCACCACATACATCAGACAAACCAACAGAAGAATAAGTGCACGCATTGAAGAATACAAGAACTCAGTCAAAAAAGAGGAACCAACTTCTTCCCTAGTCCAACACCTTAAAACCACAGGACATGAAATTGACTTTAAAAAGACCAGAACTATCGCCAAAACTGAACACTTTAACAACAGAATAATCAGAGAAGCCATCGAGATAGAAAAACGCCCACACAGCATGAATAAACGAGATGATACCTCCCGCCTACCAGCCATTTGGAAACCTGCCCTTATTGACAAACGAGTCCCTAACACAAAGAATAATACCAGACCCACACTCACAAAAACCACACAGGATGTCACCACCAAACATCCACGCAAAAAGCAAACCCAAACCCACACCGATGATGAGGCACGACCACAAACCAGAAGCCAGACCACAGCTGCATCATTAGCCACTTTAAACCCCTGTAATCCTTACATGAAACAAACTGACACCCACCATGAAGTGGCACGATCACGAAGCCAAACAACAGCAACGCAGCTCTCCATCTCAAATCCCCCTGCAACACAGACTAACCCAAGCACAACAAAGCCCCCCACCCAAACAGAACACACCCCCATCCAATCAGAGCACAGCCAACCCCCATCCAATCAGAACACAGCCAAGCTCCTAACCAATCAGAACACACCTCCACCCAATCAGAACACAGCCAAGCTCCCACCCAATCAGTTCAAACCCCCACTGGCAGTTAAAAGGAAGAAACAGCTGCTATCACACA